CGATAGGTCTTTGCAGGATGACCCCAGCAGTCACCCAAAATGCTCTCCACCACAAGACACATAGACATTTTTCTCTACGCTGCTCCTAACGCCGCCTTCATGATCAAATTAAAATGCCACCAAAAGACCCTCATCCCGTCTCCGAGACAGAAGAATGGGCTGAAGTGTTTGGTGCACTTGACTCATGCACAGCGGCCAGTTGGTGCAGCGCCGCGACTGCGTAAGCTGTCAGTTATGAAAACCACAAGGCTACCCAGAGCTGCTGCAGCCCGAGGGGCAAAGCTGTTAACATTTCTCTAATGTGATAAAGCTCATGACTCCAGAGTGCCAGAGGCAGAACAATGCTCCCGAGCCAACCGCAGCTGCTGTCGCAAATCATTTAGCACTGCTCATCTCCCCTCTCTAGCCACACGCTGGGCTGCTCTTTTAGAGCCTCTCTGAAATAGACATTTTAAGCTTTCATTTTTAAGCTCATCTGGGGACTTTTTCTAGCATCTGGTCCTTCCACATCATCCACTACGGCTACGTTAATATTAGCTAAAAACCTGCTGCAGAGATGCACGTGCAGTGTCCGTAAGAACTAGCAATCCCCGCCGTGGGCAACATCAACGGAGCATCCCGGATGGGGCGTGATTGTGCGACCACCGTCCCTCGGCCCTGAGCCCTCGCTGACAGCACAAAGCATATTCCAGGACCTATCTAAGGAACCGGTTTTAAATACACACATTTGCTTTGTAATTTTTCTACAAGACCCAAAATCCTGGCACAGAACTGAAGCTGTTTCAAAAATCAGCCTTCAGTTCCCTCCATGCAACAAGAGCTACATATTAGGAAGCTGGGAGAAAAGGGGGGCAAGGAGAGGAGAGACCACATTTATTTCAGCAGCCTAATTCACACAAATCCAGGTGGTTTAAATCTCATTGTCATCACTAGCCAGGCAGCTCAGCAACAAAAGCAAGCATTGATAGCTAGAGAGCAGCAGCATTTACAAAATGAATGAGCAGGTCCCTTCTGCCAGATGAGACGGCACTCAGAGGTGGTTAACTACTGAACAGGCTGCGTCTTTGGGGATCAAACACAGATCGCCTTTCTTCTGTAATTATTTTTCTCTGCTACGAATGAGAGATGTGGCCTCATTCCATAGGCGCTTCTCAGGACAAGGCAGCGGGAAACATGGTGCCTCGTATGATCTGTGCTTGCTTCTTGTGGGGCTTCTTGTTTGTTTTTGCTGATCACCGTAGCAGATGCCCACGCTCACAACACGTGCACAGCAGTCTTCCTTTGCTTGGAATAGCGCTTGCCACATGCTAAGACAAGGTTCTTTGGTAGAGCTCATATCTTTTATTAGACCAACTAAAAGAGTTTGACATTTTGTTCTTTGCAAGCTTTTGGGTACAAACGCCCTTCTTCAGGCAGGGGGAGCGTCTGCTGTTGTTTTGTGCTCTTCCTGGGTGGGAAGGAGCCAGTGTGCAAGAATGCAGGTCAGTGAAAATGCAGATGTGTGGTCTTCTTGCACAATGGCTCCTGGCTCCTTTCCACCCAGGCAGAGCACAAAACAACTGCAGGCGCTCCCCCTGCCTGAAGAAGGGTGCTTGTACCCAAAAGCTTGCAAAGAAAAAAATGTCCAACTCTTTTAGTTGGTCTAATAAAAGATATCACACTTACCCAAGGAACCTTGCCTACCTATGCCCTTAGACAAACACAGCTACAACCAACACCCCTGCCACATGTTAAGACAACCGTGTCTAAGGGATGGCCCATGTACCAAACGCCA